ATGATTCATGATGATTTACCTATTAAAAATTGCGAGTTTCCATGGCTACGGTAAATTGCCAGAGGGTGATTGATGCGGTTTATTTACCAACTTAGAACTGGAGGTCTCCCCCTTGTGTGGATGTTGAATCTTCAGCAGTGAATCAAACGGCCAGATCGTCTTCCTTTTATGAGTACTGAAGGACGCACAACATTTTGGATGATTTAAGGTTCAATGACTCAGCTACAAATTTATTGCAATCATGCTGAGAAACAACCGGATTTCAATCATTTGCGGTTATCACTCAGCAAGGGAGATGCCTGCAAGTGCAACGGCCGAAGCAGCGGTGTGTGCAGAGATTGAGCAGAGACTACTTGCGCCATACCCAAAGCACCCTCTCAAATTCGGGCACATGCTTGACTGGGGGGGCCATTTTGCTGCTCATTGGTGTTGCAAAGATGCAATGGGGGCTACTGTGGCCCACCCATTTGGTCATCAGTGATTCAACATCAGCGCAGGGCATCTTGACACAGCAGCAAGGGGCCAAGCCAATCTGCACTGCGATTTCCACTGATTCTCATTGGGCGCTACTGGTCTATGTGTGGTCTGCAAAAACCACATATTTCACATATGTTGTACTTCCGTTTTGGTTTGTTTATTTCAATGATTGTAGGCTACATATTGTTCCAGACATATCTGATTCGTATGCAGGGAGTCCCCTCCGGTCACCCCTTTCAAGAGAAGATGGAACTGGCTGTCCCCCAAATCACCAGAAAAAAATTAAAGGACCGGATAACCCCACAAGGCAACTTCTTCCAATAATGAGCACCAAATGTTGTAGCGGGGACGGGGAAGGAAGGAAAGACAAAGGAGGTGGTGGAGGATCCAGAAGTAAAACAAAGTTGTGTATGAGAAAAATGTATGTGAAAGATGGTGTGCGAAAAAGAAAGATGGTGTGTGTGTGACAAAGTTGTCTGTGAAAGGTGGTGTGTGTGTGTGTGAAGGTTGTGTGTGAAAGAGAGCGTGTGACCAAGTTGTGTGTGAAATATGGTGTGTGAAAAAGTGGTGTATGAAAGATGGCGTGGCGAAAGATGGTGTGTGAAAGATGTTGTGTGTGAAAGATGGTCTGGTGAAAGATGGTGTGCGAAAGATAATTGTGTGTGAAAGACGGTGTGTGACAAAGTGAAAGATGGTGTGTGAAAGATGGTGTGTGACAAAGTGGTGTGTGACAAAATGGTAGGTGAAAGATGGTGTGTGACAAAGTGGTGTGTGAAAGATGGTGTGTGAAAGATGGTGCCTGACAAAGTGGTGTGTGAAAGATGGTGTGTGAAAGATGGTGTGTGAAAGATGGTGTGGAAGATAGTGTGTGACAAAGATGGTGTGTGGAAGAGGGTGTGTCAAAGATGGTGTGTGAAAGATGGTGTGTGACAAAGTGATGTGTCAAAGATGGTGTGTGAAAGGTGGTGTGTGACAATGTGGTGTGTGAAAAAGTTGTGTGTGTGAAAGATGGTGTGGTGAAAGATGGTGTGTGAAAGATGGTGTGTGTGAAAGATGGTGTGTGACAAAGTTGGGTGTGAAAGAGGGTGTCTGTGAAAGATAGTGTGTGACAGATGTTGTGTGACAAAGATGGTGTGTGACAAAGATAGGGCGTGTGACACCAGAGCCAGCCCAGTGCCATAAGTGCCACGCCGGCCACGCAAAACGAAGGTGGATGTCTCCAAGTGCCACGCCTGCCACGCAAAGTGCCGCAGCGTCACCGGCGACCAAAACCGGGCCCAAACGCTCCACCAGAGCCAGCCCAGTGCCATAAGTGCCACGCCTGCCACGCAAAGTCGAAGGTGGATGTGACCAAGTGCCACGCCGGCCACGCAAAACGAAGGTGGATGTCACCAAGTGCCACGCCTGCCACGCAAAATGCCGCGGCGTCACCGTCACTTGCGAACAAAACCGGCCCAAGCGCGCCACCGGAGCCAGCCCAGTGCCATAAGTGCCACGCCTGCTACGCAAAACGAAGGTGGATGTGACCAAGCGCCACGCCTGCCACGCGAAAGGAAAGTGGATGTCACCAAGCGCCACGCCTGCCACGCAAAATGCCGCGGCGTCACCGGCGACCAAGACCGGCCCAAGCGCGCCACCAGAGCCAGCCCAGCGCCATAAGTGCCACGCCTGCCACGCAAAACGAAGGTGGATGTGACCAAGTGCCACGCCTGCCACGCGAAACGAAGGTGGATGTCACCAAGTGCCACGCCTGCCACGCAAAGTGCCGCAGCGTCACCAGCGACCAAAACCGGCCCAAGCGCGCCACCAGAGCCAGCCCAGTGCCATAAGTGTCACGCCTGCCACGCAAAACGAAGATGGATGTGACCAAGTGCCACGCCTGCCACACGAAACGAAGGTGGATGTCACCAAGTGCCACGCCTGCCACACAAAGTGCCGCCCGCCAGAGCCAGCCCAGTGCTATAAGTGCCATGCCTGCCACGCAAAAGGAAGGTGGATGTGGCCAAGTGGCACGCCTCCCATGCGAAACGAAGGTGGATGTCACCAAGCGCCTCGCCTACCACGCCTGCCACGCAAAGTCGAAGGTTCATGTCACCAAGCGCCACACCTGCCACGCAAAGTGCCGCGGTGTGAAAGATGTTGGTTGACAAAGATGACAGATGGTGGTTGACAAAGATGTTGGTGAAAGATTGTGTGTGACAGATGGTGTGTGACAAAGATGTGTGTGAAAGATGGTGTGTGAAAGATGTTTGTGAAAGATTAAGTGTGGCAGATGGTGTGTGACAAATGGTGTGTGGCAAAGATGTGTGAAAGATGGTGTGTGTGAAAGATGTTTGTGAAAGATTGTGTGGTGACAGATGGTGTGTGAGAAAGATGTGTGTGACAAAGATGTGTGTGACAGATGGTGTGTGAAAAAGATGTGTATGAAAGATGGTGTGTGACCAAGATGTGTGTGATAGATGGTGTGTGAAAGATGGTGGTTGACCAAGATGTGTGTGAAAGATGGTGTGTGAAAGATGGTGGTTGACAAAGGTTGGAAAGATGGAGGACGAGGAGGCGGAGGACAAGGAGCGGCGGGATACAGAATCAAAAACAAGAACCCCACACAAAGATGTGGGGAAAAAGGTGTATGAACTCATAGTCACATTGAGGTTTCCTAAAATGGGGGTAACCCCAAATCATCAATTTAAATAGGATTTCCGATTATAAGTATTATAAGCCATCTATTTCCGGGGTACCCCCATTTCAGGAAACCTCCCCATTACTATGTTGCAAAAGCAGGGCAAAGCAGAACCACAAATAAAAACTCGACCTGCAACCCTAAAGACTGGTTTGAGACTCTGTGTGGTATTCAGAGCACTGGAAATATGGACATTTAAGAATGATGAATCCCATCCCCCTATTGTTAGATACCACCTCGAGGGCCCTCAAAAAGAAGAGATCTACACTTATGGCCCAGCAAACAGTTATAACTGGGAGCATTTCATGATATATAACATTATATAACATGAAATATAACACAAAATATAGCCTAATTATAGGTGTTTTTGTTCATCCTAGTTATTACTGTTAGGCCAGGGCCATAACTGTAGTATACTAAATCAAGGTTTCGGGTGTTGTGGAGGGATTGAAGGATCATGATCCATGTGGTGCAATCCCAGGCGGCGCTGTGCGATCCCAGTGGGCCGTAGATGTACGGGGCCCCAAGGGGCCGACGATGGGCGATATCGCTGGTGAATGGCGGGTTCATGTTGGTCCACGGGTTACTGCATAGCCCTTGAAACGTGGATTGTTCGTTGATTTACCGATGATTTACATGCGTTTTTTTCACTAGCTATAGTTACATCGCCAGAGGGTATCCAGATGTTTGCAAAGAACTTGGTGTGGATAGTTTTTTTCCTTTTTGGCAGGGGTATATTCAATTCATATGTGATCATCACATGTGATATCCTGCTAAGGAACCTGTTTTTGTTTTTTTCCACACCTGCCAGGTGAGGGTTGTTAGATGTTATCAGAGCTGTTCTCCTCATCCTCCTCCTCCTCCTCGTCCTCCTCCTTCTCCTCCTCCTCCTTCCTCCTCCTCCTCCCCCGCGTCCTCCTCCTCTTCTACCACCTCTGCCTCCACTTCCACGTCCATCGTTGCCTTGCCAACTCTTGGCCAAGCTCTTCGCCAACTTCGGAGCTCAGTGCGCACTGCTGGACCTCAACCTGGGACCTTCCCAGCTCAGTGCGCACCGCTGGACCTCAACCGGGACCTTCCTAGCTCAGTGCGCACCGCTGGACCTCAACCTGGGACCTGCCAAGCTCAGTGCGCACCGCTGGACCTCAACCTGGTTCGGAGCTCAGTGCGCACCGCTGGACCTCAAAAGCCAGATAGAATGCCAGAAGATATGCCAGATAGAATGTCAGATAGAATGCGAGAAGATATGCCAGATAAAATGCCATAAGATTTGCCAGATGATATGCCAGAAGATATGCCAGATAGAATATTAGAAGATATGCCAGATAGAATGTCAAATAGAATGCCAGAAGGTATGCCAGATAAAATGCCAGAAGATATGTCAGATAGAATGCCAGAAGATTTGCCAGTGACAAAATATATAGATGTCATGGTGGGGATAACTCGAAGTAATGTTTTTTTTTTTTTTGCGTGGTATCTAATGTTATCAGTGATGTTATCAGTGATGTTTTATCATGTTTTGTTTTTCGATTGCGATTGGAGACCCAGTATTTAAACGGTACAGTTTTATTGTAACGTACCCTCTGGTAAACGTTTACATAGCTATTGAAAATGGCCCATTTATACAAGACGCGAGACAGTGCACGGCTCAAGCCAACTTCACAACTGAAATCCAATCAGAGGTAAGGGACTCATTTATCTCAACTGACGTGGCATGTTCTTTCAAACTGTTCCTTCCTTATGTTTTTTTCACACTTCCTGTCAGATCAAATGGTTTTGTGAAGAGAAACAGATCTTTGATCTTTGCGAGTTTACACAGCATTCCTTGGATTGTTGCGGAGCAATGTCACTCTCCAGAACACCTAGCTGAGAGCCTCAGTGAGGGAGGAGGATTGGAAACCATTTAGACTTGGTTTGAGTGGAATTTCTTGTGTCCCCGAAGTGGACTTGGTCATGGACTGGGTAATCAATCTGGAGTCCCATATGACTTCAATTTACTATGTTTGTTTTTTCCTGTAACTGGTTGGTTAGCGTCTTTTTGAACTAACCCATAGCCTCCTGTAACTGGCAGGAATCGCAGGACAATCCAAGTTTTGCAGGGTATCAGCACTTGTTTCAGATGCACAAGGCCGGCTTGACAACTGAACGATGCTTCGGATATGACAGATATGACGCAAAGACATTCCCATGTACCGGTCCCTGTTAGCAGAAACAACATTGTCGCATTGTCGGAGCATGTTGCATTGGGGGTTTTGAACATTTTTAGAATCACCCAGAGAAGACCCATTCCCTTCAGCGTCTTTGGTTTCGCTGAAAAATCTTGGAATTTGCGGGGTGATTTAGTGTCGCTCCTGTAGTGTTTTGTTCTGAAGTCAAGGCGACTCCTCAGCAAGTAGCATAACCGTAGAAAACATGTACTTTGATGGGCGATCGTTTTGTTTTAGTTTGTCTAAGTTAGATGGGACATCGGATTAGTTGTAAGTTGGCTGGTTGGCTGGTAAATTAGCTTACTAGTTATAGTTAGTTATAGGTACTGAAACATACTGAAACTGATGATCGAGTTGTATTTGTGGACCCTATGGCTTTGTCTAAAGACTGGGTGCCAGCGCAAAATTTATGTTTTGCCATCCGCCATCCTTTTACCAATTATAGAGGCCATTTGAAAGCCAACCGGGCTACAATTAACAGTTCAGCTCAGGTTCTTTGTCCCAGTTGTAGGGGCCCTCAGACTGCGGAAAGAATGCTGGAAGTTGATAGGTTTTGATGAATGGCCATATGCCAACTTACTGGTGCTTAGCAGGGAATGCGGGAATGATCCACAATAACTATAGATAATTATCCCATTTCCCCATTCCCATCCATTCCCTACTAAGCACCAGTAAGCCAAGTGGCCAGATTATTGAACACGGAGGCAGCCTCTAAGGTTGGCCGTGATTGAGGAGACTGAGGAGTTTTTAGTGTAAGGATATTGCCTGCCAAGAGAGATCGGAAAGGTCTTGGTCCATGGTTCTGTTAGACTCAGCAGGGTTCACCACATTTCTGGTTGGTGGTTTCAAACATTTGGATTATTTTTCCATAGATTGGGAATAATAATCCCAACTGACTTTCATATTTTTCAGAGGGGTTAAAACCACCAACCAGCATTTGTTTGCTTGCGAAGCTGTGCCTGATCCCACAAATGCGCTCTTTTGACATTGACGACCTTGAGGATTTGCAGGATTTTCCTGTTTTGGGTGGTGAGTTAGTCACCGACCGCACCGACGTCATGACGTAAATGATGATGTGTGACCAACCAGTTTAATGGAATGATGGATTTTGAACACTGCCTATTTAGCTAGAACCCTCGCAACTGGGCGATAATTTAAGATCTCCTTTTTGGGTATACAAACCTATAACCCATAGACCCGCAACAAAAAAACATACACGTACACACATACGCATACACATACAACCAACAACCAACAACCAACAACCACAACAACAACCACAACTACAACCACAACCACTATGTACCCAATAAGAATGTTTTTGTTTGCCTCAACTGAGGGTCAAGGCAGCAAATCAAGCCATGTAGCAGACTTGATGGCTCATCTCACGTCGCAAAACCGCTGGATGAAACACGTCGTTTTTTGGCATGGTCGCTGGCAGTAAGGCTATCAGAGGCTAAGAGCTATATTTTTCTACACTTATACATACGTATCTATACGTGTCTATAATGTGGAAAATCAGTATTTGTATTTTTGCAGTGATACAATACACGTAAGTGGGGCCCGCACATCCAAGTATGGTTCAAGGTCTCCAATGTTTGTGTAAACTTAGTTGGACCCTTCCATATTTGAATGACATTCGGAAGGCGTTTCATTGGTGTTGTCATATAGCTACAATGTGCTGCCTCCAAGTTAGTTCCTTACAATTTACCCATCTAAGTATAGTTGTCACCATTTATCACCGAAAACCTAATTAGGGGGCACTGCCAAACCTATGGCTATACCTTAACACCTTGGGTCCCATCGTTGGACGTCAAGGCGGAGTCCCTCCCGCAGCGCTACCCCGGCGAGTCAGGCACCCTTGTTGTAGGGGCCCCATCTCCCAACTTATGGAGAGCATCCCATACTACCCATGAAGCCCAACTACATTCCCAAGTGGAGGTGATTTTTATTGGCCAAGATCAAAAAAAACACATTAAGACAAATTACTTATACACTTCAATCCTAAAAAAGGGTCGAGCTGCTATTCTACATTTGGGCCTTTATGACAATGGGGGAAGGAATTATTTGGTGGCATTTCAAGGAGGATACTGGGAGCAACAGTTTGGGATTGTCGCTGATGTAATGGGATATATTGATATACCAGGATGTACAAACGGGTCGTGTCGGTCATAAGTGGTCACGAGTTTCTTTTGAGAAATCAAGAAAAACATGCGTGTCATTGCGTGTCACTGCCGTGTCGTGTCGGTCGGTAGGGGGTGTCCAATAAGCACCCCTTAGGCAAACGGGTGTCTAATAAGCACCCCTTAGAAACGTGTCGGGTGCTTTTTGAACATTCCCTGTGCGTGTCATATCGTGTCGATTTTGACTAGTTTTCTTGAAATTTGGGAACATTTTACATCCGACGCGAAAAGAAACGCATGCATTTCTTCTCGCCAAAAATGAAGTCGGGTGCACCACAGATGCAACGCGGGTGGGATTGGAAGATTTTGGGTTGGAACTCATCATTTTCTGGTGTGCCATCTCCATGAACGCTAAGAGTTGTCCATTAGGCACCCCTTAATCAATTTCTGAAATTCATTAGGCACCCCTTTGAACGTGCTGGTATATATATATATATACTGTATATAATATATATTGAGCATACAGCGGGGAATCTAATGGAAAAAATATAGATTATGGAATGTAATCTGGGTCAATTGGAACACAGTCACCGCGATGCCACGACAGAATGAACTAGTTACCATAAGCCCACAGTGAAATGTTAGTGAACTAGTTTTTTTATATCAATCAACTTAGCGAACATGAATGTATAACAATATATGTAATTATATAACAAACCCTTTTTGATAGCATCATGTTTGATGGTGCACCTTTGACCCACCTGTTGGTCTCTCTTTCCTATCCAGATGGTCTATGTCGAACAGCAGCCCATCTTTCCAGCGCTGCCCATGGATCGGGCGGGATGCCCTTCAGGCAGCGGGACTTTATGTGGCTGTAACCAGAAAATGAGCAGGTATTCGACCAAGTGAGGGATTTATGATGTTAAAATAAGTTTAATATATAACACAATATATAATATGGGTTTTCACCGAGCATAGTATGGTTTTGTCGGAACATGCGTAACTACCATGTTGCTGTGCAGAATGATGGTAAACCATGAATTTAAAGGGTAGCCGGACAAACCCATGTCAGGATTTCCTGTGTTGTGTGCTGTACGATCACTGAGGTCGTTGGAGGTCAAAATGTGGTGCCCCATCCACTGGCTGGTTTCTAAAACACAATTTATTAACTGTTTTGATATAACTATTAATATATATATATTTTATTATTGCGTGTATATATATATATATATTTATACAATAATCCCAATATTCAACTTGCGTAGTTCGGGCAATATGTTGCTACAGGATGGGGGCCCCCAGTTAGAAGATGTTATAAGTTGGTTTATAAACCATTATCACCCCAACTAACTATAATTAGTTATATCTACCATAAACCATAGAATTCAGCCACTTAAAAGGCAACTGAACGCTATCTTGGGGGCCCCATCCTGTAGCATAAATCACCATTTTTGTTGGTGACATCTTACATCTTCATGGTGGAATAGCTTGAACCCCCTGTAGGCATCCAGTTTCGCCCGGAACGACGTGCTGAGGCGCGATACCATGGCAAGATTGGGGATGGTTTCCGGTTGCACCATGGCTTTACCATGGCTTTACCATGGCTTTACCACATTTTTCAGGGACTTCCCAAAAATGGCTTCGAAATAAGGCCCGGATCGACCTGAGAAGGTGCGGCGAAGCCCCCAAAAATCCACAGGGATGGAAGGTGACGGCTGACATGGGACATCCAGGATTCGCCGGACGATTTTGTCCGATGCTGTCGGACTAACGTATAGAAAAAACTATGGAAAATCCCCATGTTTAATGGTTCAATCAACTATAAGTAGGTCACTTTCAATAGCTATGTTAGTTTTCCAGAGGGTAGTGCATGTAACACGGTGATCCTGAAGTGGGAATCTCCTGAAGATATCCAAACATTGAAGATCCCAGAGAATCCCAGATGGGTTGAAGATGGACAAAGTCATGCAATCAATTTTTGAGTATGGGTGGGATTGCAATGCTTCAGGTGATGAAAAGTGATTCCTGAAAAAGTGTATGTATAGCTATGGGGAAAAAAAACGCGTTGACCCCAGGCCAAAAAATGCGTGGACTAAAAGTGTCACAGTGCCGAAATGCCAACTTTGGGGCTCTAGGCAGCGCAGTCCAGACAGGACTTTGTGCATCCCTTTCTGCAGAAGCCCGTCTACACATCGACGCCCACCGGAGATACCGGCTACAGCAATTTTGTGAAGAGGCGCCATGGTGGATGTCAGGGTCACCCGAGCCTTTTGAAACAGGTGTCGAAAAGGTAAGATTCTTTGATTCAGCACGGATGTGGATGCATACAGCATTACGCTGCAGTGGAGTAGGATTGAACTTGGATGTCTCCTTCTACTGACATATATTGCAGCATGCAGCATCCATCCACGTATATCTTGAGGGACGAATCATGACGAATCCAGAGCGGTTGATACTCGCCGTACTCGCCCCACCTTTTGAGCTTGAAGATGACTGCCATCAGATTCGTTCTGACTGCTTGTAGCTCTGTAGATAAAGCACAACACAAACAGACCCAAACCGAAAGCCAAGACGCGATAAACCCTGAGTCATCGACCACTTGCCAAATCATATGAATGGTTCCATGACCAGTTGCTTCCACTACAAACCCTAAATGGTTTCCTAGGAGCTGGAAGACATCTGGTTTCATTTCGGTACCACTTTCATTTTTCAGCATTTTATTTGCCAACATCGTGGATACAAAACCCAAAAAGTCTCACCCGCCAGGGGCTATGACACGCAACTCTTTAGCCGCAGCTATGTCTGGCTGCTCAGAAATCTGGGGATGTCAGCAACCGAAGTGGGATACAACCAGCAAAACATATTGATATGATGTGAAGCCTTAGGGGACATCCATTGGTAGATGGTGGCGTTTATATGTTTTTATTGGATTTTCATGGTGGTTTGATGGGGAAACTAAGACTTAAGAAATATGCAGTATATATATAATGGGATCCAACAAGATGAGATGTGCCTGCGTCTGAAACTGCTACATATTCATCTCACATGGCCAGTTCTACGATTGAAATCACGGGATTCGGTATCTAATTTTCGGACGTCATTTCTTTGGGGTGGCTCGGTGGCTTGCAATATCTTAAAGAATCACTCGCCAGCCTTTCTTCGAATTTAGAAGTCATGAATTTCACGGCCTTCAATGGTCAGGACTGCGAAATCACCCAGCTATCTTGGTAAAATCTCGGTTGGGCTGATTCATCCATGCTTATGGAGAAAATTGTTGAGGTCGATAGTGGTTGACAATTCACTAGGTCGAACGGGCTAGTTGGGGATGTTTCTTGTCTCCAAGGATAGCTAGTGAAAAATCCAGGAGAAGATCTGGCAGTTGGGGATGCAGTTGGGCTTATTCATGTTTATAACTAACCCTTGTAATAACCCTCATAAGTTGGGATTGTAACCACTATTGCCACGCTTCAAAATAATAAAATACCACTCAAGAGAGTGGCACGGCTTTTTTCAGGCTCATCATTGTGGGGCATAATATTAGCAGTGGGATCCAAATCAGATAGTCAAGGTCTCAGGATGCCTCCAAATCAGGATTGGAATTGGAACCATAATATGTTGATGTCTCCATTTTTGTTGAAACCAAATACTCAGGATTGGATGGTTCCAAGGATGTCCTTAAGACGTGTTTAGTTGTCCACGCTTCAGCCTTGCTGATCTCCCATGGCAAATTGTGGTAAATCGTGGTCCACTCACAGCCATAAAACTATGCATATATATATATATATAGAACCATATATAACCATATATCACCGTATATATATATAACTCCACTTATTAGCGGTCACAGTTTTCTATGTATTGTTTATATTACTTCACCATTTAAAACCACTTATTATAGTGGTACTTTAGTAGGCCTCATCATATCATAATCTTTGTGAATCATCAATGGGATCCCAGGCCAAAGGCAACTGGGAGGTGCCCGGAAGAATCCGCGGACGGGGACGGTAAGTGTGATTAGAAAAGCATCATAAAAAACATGGCGTTGTTTTTTTTTATCGGAAAATGATGGAAAATGGAGATTGCAATAGGAATTATAGCTGATTTGTGGTGGATGGAAGAAATCCTGCACCAGTTGATAGGTGGTTTATCCCATTGTTTATAGGATTTCAACCATCCAAGGTGATGCAGGATTTCTTCCATCCACAGTATGATAGCTTCAAGTTGGTTGAAGGTGAACGGAGAACTGTTGGCTTTGTCTTGGTGAACTCGGTGAAGTCTTGGGTACTCTTGGTGGATAGGCAACAAGTGTCCAGGCGAACCTCTGAGATAGGCAACTCTTGGGTAATTTGACCTTTTGATTTTAGGGTCGTCTCAGAGGTAACTGAAAGGTTAGGGAATCCACACCGGACTAGTTTGGGTAGCGAAAATGGTCCCTTCACAAACCACTCAATAGATCCTGAGACATCGAAAGTTTGCAATCTATAGTGTTTGTTTCCTCCAATTATTTATTGTAGTCCCAAATCTGAACAAGCGAAAACAAAGAGCCTGTTTTTGGTTGCGAATCACTAGGAAACAATGCCTGAGAATCCACATTCCAGGAGAGGAACTTATGCAAATTCACTGCAATTTAAGAATTCATTATTATATGAAATTATTTGGGTCAAAATTGGATACCCCACTTGGTGGCTCATCCCACTTAATAAGTGGCTTATAGCCCCTGGTTGTAAGTGGGGTAAGTATGGATAAGCAGGGTTGGTCCACTTATAACTGGGGTTATAACCCACTTACAATTCTGACCCATCGCTTGTTGACTTCGAATTCAACGAGACTAACCCCATATATAAGTGTCGGAATATTGAACCATAATGTAATAAACATTTTTTGTATATATTTAACTATAAGTTATATTACATATATATATATATATAAATATATATTTGAACTCCCATGTTCATCGATGAACTCCCATGGAGGCGGCCCGGCTGGGAATGCCAAAAACTTTGATGTTGAGTCGCTCCGTTCCAACCATCTTCACACAGACAGGTCGGGGGGACCTGGTGGACGGTGCTGGGGTACACGGAGATTTGCTAAGGTTAGGTCAGGTTTCATTGTTTTGTGTTGGTTAGTGCTATATTTCGGATGAATATGAGTATCATTGAGCATCCAACTAAAGATATCTGTTTGTTGGTGGGTATCTATTCGCGATTATTCGTGTGACAACGTATATTCACAGTTACCTTCATCAACAGATTACCAGGGAGTGGCCTAGTTTGCCCTGACGCAGCCGCGCTATGTGATCCATAACCCATTGCGCTTGCGTACGGTGATGGGGTGATGGGCAGTGATATTGTTTTGATGTCGACTTGAACGGGCTTCGATTTTCCCATATGCCCCATATGTATACTGTAGATATGTATTTATGTATGGTAAATTGTACCTAATCTTGTCCTTAGAAATTACTTTGAACTGTTGAGACATAAACCCTCCATTCCAGAACAATGTGGGAATGGGTCAGTCCCAGCTGAACCCCCCCCGCGCCAGGGCAACAGACGCTCAACGCGCCCAAGGTCTGATAAAACCACCCGTGGTCCAAGCTGGGTTAAACATGGTGATTTTCCATAGATACGTTAAGTTTACCAGAGGGTATGTTCCTACGATCACAACTTGGCAGATCTCTTTTTGGCATCTCTTGTCGTTGTTTTGCACGACACCCACTTTGGATCCCACAGGATTCAGAACATAGAATCCCGTGGACCCTGATCGACCCACTGATTGGCGTCATGTTTGACATCCCAAATCAGCACACCAATGGCTGCCTGCCAAGCAGGTCAGTCTTAAGTTGAACAGCCAAAGCAGCCAAAGTGCTGCGGCGGCGTTTCGGGACCTTCAAAGCGTCCGCAAAAAGGGAACCAGCTGGGCCAGCGTCCTCAAGTTGGAACGCATTGACTTGGAACAGCATGGAAAGTTTCCAGGACCAGCACCCATCACCAGTCTGAATCGTTTTTAGGCGGCGAATGGCAGTGGACCAATCATTTTTGTTGAATGGATCTTGGATTCTTGGATCTTGCCCAGGAAGCCTCCAAAGTATGTTGTTATCTGCTGAAGAGCAGTAGACGTCATCGCTTCAGCATTGGTTTGGTGTTCCATGGATGACCTTTGCAGCTGTGGAATGAAATGAAATCCCACACCCTGGCCATTTGAAACCACCATTAACATTCTAAGTGACAATTTATGTAGGTCTTCGAGATCAATATCAATCGCGGCCAATTTGTCAACTAAAGATCGAGACTGACTAGAGAGCAGATTTTTCAAACGCGCACTTTTTTTGAACCCCGAAATGATCACTTGCCGAAGCAAGTCGGAGACCATGGATTTTTCCCACATGCCAGTTGCGACCGAACATGGGTCGAAAAAAAGCTCAGAAATGCGACCTGACCTCTGGAGGGATGGAGCCTCAGGGCCAGTGCTCTGGGATGATTTCATGATAGGCCTAACCAACGTTGGTTAACTGTTATATACCCAGGGCCATAAGTGTATAAACCAACTTAAACATCATCAAACATCATTACAAAGCAACAAAACTATAGTTATATAAATGGTATATAATTATGCTAATGTTGGTATAAAACATAGCCCTATAGTTTTATTACCCATCTGCGAACCATGGTGCTTGAATCCCAACATTTGCCCTTGTCCGAAATCACCCAGTCATGTAGGTAAATATACCAGCACCATGGAGCATCTGGGTTATGGGTCCCATGGGTCCCCCTCCCATCGCGCCAACGGGCGCTCCCAGTTGTATCTGAGGTATCTCCAGCCGCGAGCCTTTGCTGTGCGGATGCCTGAGGGTTGCAAGAGGACCTCGGGTGGGTCATGGGTACCCTCTGGTAAACGTTTACATAACTATGGAAAATCAAAATCTACTACAGTATAAATGGCAATTTTCAATAGCTTTTTGTATGTTTACCAGAGGGTAATCTCCTCTTACAACCGTGATGCAGTGTGATGCATTGCTCTAAATTGTGGCTAAACAAGACTCATTCACAGGTTTATCAAGTTCATGGTCTTTGAAATGTATAACATGGTGATTTCCAAGCAGAATCTTGCCCTCGAGACGGGTGTTTCAAGGGTTCAATAGTTCCATGTCATTCTTAGTTGGGGAAGTTTGGCCGCCAAGGAGTGTCTTCCCGCCAAGACAATAGAATAATAGAAGGAATCTCACTAAGTATTTGAGAGGAATTTGCCCCAGGTGACCAGTATTACCAGTATTGACCACTGGTCTAAGTCAAATCCACGGACCTCATCGCCAGCTTGATACCAGGATTGCTCCAAGCTATAGCTCAATGATGTAAACGATAGCAGGGGAGTACTGTGTAATGTGAGCATTGACCATAGCATTGAGGTATGATACCCTAATAATCTTATACACATTTGACATAAATTGACCATAAATTTGGGCATTATGATACCAGGATTTGACCATGGATGGGATCACTATGGATCCCGAGGTTCACTCCGGGGCCCTTGACTGTGTCGGGTCCGGTGAAACAGGCCTGGTTTGGGACGGCATCGAGAAACGGTGGTTGATTGAAAATTCGATGTACCCACCGGTCATTCAAGGTATCCACCAGTAAAATGCCCATGTACTTTGATGATGTTGATCTTTTTTCCAGCGAAGTACGCCTGCAGGTTTAGTTCGGGGATTTACAACTGTCATGTTTGAATACCTGAGGACAGTAATAGATGTTTGTTGCTTACAACCGCACAACCCCATGTTTGATCATTTTTGGTCCGCGATCTACCCCATCTCCAAGCTTTGCCAAGGGAATTTCTTTGATCTCTGGGTACCATCCGCCTCCAGGCAATGCTTGTGGACTATGGCAGCAGAGATAAGCTTGGAGCCCATGGGAGTCCATAGGATGTGGACGACATCTAACGGGATGCTGGAGTTGTGATAGGGGCCTCTTGGAAACATGGGAGTGGGCGATTTTTTTAATTATTATGTTAGTACTAATTTTGTATTTTTGTTGGTCAAACAGATTGTGATTACGCAGCAGAAATATCATGAGTTACCACATTGCTGGGTAAACCGTGGATATGTAGTTTAGTGAAATCCCACCAGCCTAAAGTGAAGGAATCCAGAACTATTTAATTTCCGAATTATTTTCTGATTTTTTTCTGACGCCCCAATATTGGTTTGGTTCTGGGTCTGAAAGATTTCTGAAATATGTCTGACATATTTCTGAAATATGTTTGATTATTTTTCTTGAAATATATATGGGTTCTGGATCCCTGTTTGTTGTTTGGTGGGTTTGGAGCCTGCAAGGGCTGTTTCCCCAGATTTCTGGAAAAATTCGACAAATTGCTATTTCCTCGTTTTTCTTCCTTTTCCTGCCAAACGATGATTTTCACCAAAATTCAGACAATTTTTCAGATTTTTGCAACACTTTTTTCATATATTTGTTTTCAGATTTTTGTCAAACTTTTTGGATTTTTGTCCAGGCATGGATTCGAATCAGAAATAATTAAATCAGAAAACAAACACCTATTTCCAGGATTTGGCCTTATGGCTGAGGTGGATTCTTACTCATGTAGTTGTGTAGGTTCTTATTTGACCACGTAATGTTTCACTGTAAACCTATGACTGGCAAGGTTGAACAACGCAAATTTTGGCTGCATAAAACCAAGAAATTTATGGAGATATCATTGGATTCAGAACAGCGGACTTAGTTAAGCCACTTACAGTCCAAGTTACCAATCTCTGGGGGCCATCATGGTTTTACCGCAACAATCCAACGCCAGGATCGTCATCCTGTTGCTTAGAAGCCCTACACATCATGGTTGAATCACTCTTAGATAGCCAATTAATAATCATCTATCAATGAGTTTCACCATGTTTATATAATTCTCAAACTCACCGTGTGTATCCATTTGTAATGGTTACCTTCTGATAAACAAACAACATACAAAATCACCATGTTACTATGTAACATCAGTCAACTATCAATTGGCCATGTTCAATAGCTATATGATGCTATATCTTAAAATACCGCAGTGTAACTGTAAAGTCCCAGTATATCACGATATATCAAGTATATCCCCATGAACTCCCCATTTTCTGATGCTTAAACCGAGTTAAACCCATGAAAAATACCCGTTTTGTTCAACGCCTCGAGGCTTTTCTTAGATGCCGTGGTGGAGGTTCGTCAGTCCCTTCTGCAGGTGGCAGGCGTCTCCAAGGAGATCGTCAGATGGGGAGAACATGGAAATGCCATGGATGTTTTTATGGGGACATCATTCATATGAGCTGTGGTCAATACTCATGGTTAATAACCATTAATAGGGGCTAGTCATCCAATGGTTCATAGGGATTTATAATAACCATTATAAGGATCCTTATTATGGATGGGATGACCATCAACCATATAGTGAGTATTGACCATGGCTCATATGGGAGTTTCCATCAATGGGGCTACCCCAATATGTAGCTGGATTGGGAAAATCCATGGATTTTATCCATCTGTAAATGGATGATGCAAGGGGGTAACCGCCATATGTAATTAATGATGACTAATTTATGATATACATAATTTCTCTGGATGAATTGGAATGGGAATATATTATCTGGATAATGGGCTTGAATGTGATTAAATGACATATATCATGGGATTTCACGAGGTTGTATATAATTGTATATTTTCGGATGAATGATACTGACATCATTGTGACGTCACTGGAGCAATGGTTAGGATTTGGGAAATCATCCCCAAATGGCCGTATGACAACAGCTATTTTTAGTTTGGTGAACTATTACAATTCAGCCAGAAATACTATGCTATTGGTTGATACGCAACACAACCACGGGGATTAAGTTGGTGAGTTGGTGCCCCAATATAACCCAATAATTAGTCTAAAAACAGCTCAACCAACTTGGGTTGACTATGGGTTATTTTACTAGCTGAACTTGTATGTTGTTCTTCTGGGGATCATAATTCGTAGCTCTAGTCTTGCAACTTAGATCTTACTTCTCGAAAATCAGCAAGTATCTAAAACATAAAACATGTATATATATAATATATCAAACATAATCAAACATAATCACTCTGATTATTATATATAAAACTTTAGTTTATATTGTAACTACCCCAACCAACGAATCTCTCACTTTCTTCCGGACCATGTGAGGTTCCCCGGATCGATGGTTCACTAGGTGCGACCACGTCGCAACACGTCAGGAGCAGGGCTATGAATGCGTCCTGATGCAGGTGCCGTGAACACAAAAATATCACTGGGACTTTGGCAGCTTCCTCCGCAAAAAATATAGTATATCTATATTATAAATCATATCAGATCTATGGGATATCTATATTGGTATATCAGTATACCTGGATCTTCGAAAGAACACAAATAATTGTCCGTTTGCAAATGAATATCCAGGTATATCTAATATCTATGGTATAGCTATGGGATATCTATATGGTATCTAGACACATCTGAATTGTTTATCGGATGATTCGTGAAGCGCCCTGGGTTGAAATTGCCACTTGGAGGATCCGGCGGAGTTCGAGCTTGTCCCGAATGTCTGTCGGTTATCCTAGCTCTATAAATCTATAAACATGGGTGAACTAACCCCATTTACTAACCACTTCCTAAGCACTGGGATGATCTACAAACTATAAATCATGATAAATCAACAAAAAAGTGGGTAAGTACTATAGTACTAACCTGTACTAACCACCCTTCTTAACATTTCTTAACCACCTACTGGCCGCCCTTTACGAGTCGTGACGGATGATCCTCCAAGCACTGCATCCGTCAGGGTTCAGGCACTGCCGCGGTGGAGGCCATGCTGGGCACCGTGCCACGGGATGGCAAGGCGGCGATGGAACGGCGGGGCCGTTGCTCCGTTGCTGGTTGGAACGTCGTTGGTGGTTTCATCAATATCCATATGTATAATATTATATATATAATTATATATCTGGGTAAACTATAACGACCTCACTGCGACCTCACTGGAATCATGGTTAATAAGGGAAGTCATCCCCAAATGGCCTTAATTCAGGTTAGTGAAATATTGTAATTTACCCAGATATACATACATATATGTATACCTGGTTGGTGGTTTGGAACATTTTTTATTGTTCCATATATTGGGAATCATAATCCCAATTGACGAACTCCATTATTTTTCAGAGGGGTAGTTCAACCACCAACCAGATAATGTTGATATACCCTCTGGTAAACGTTTACATAACTGTGAAAGATCCACCATTTTATAGCTGGGTAAAATCAACGATTTCGACTGGGCCATTTTCAATAGCTATGTCAATAAATTACTAGAGGGTATCTTTGGGGGATGAGCTCAATTGTAGTCATCATTCATAGCCACCAATGAATAATTGTCATCATTAATGCTTAATAACCATCAATAACAATAAGAAGATATACCCTCTGGTTATTTAACATACCCATGGAAAATTGCCCATTTATAGATGGTTTACCTATTAAAAATGGTGATTTTCCATGGCTATGTTAAATAACCAGAGGGTATAACCATAACTTGCTTGGAACTTGTTGGAACTTCTTACCAGATATGGTTCTTCTTATGGTTCTGAGATGGGCGTTATGGATCGTAAGGAAGGTACTTGTACGGAGGATCCTATACCATGGGCTGCGTTTTGTGTTTTTTATGATGTTTGAACTGTAGATGACGATGCAGATGATATATGATGAAATGAAATTAGTCGTGTATTTTTGACATTGTTCAGAAGGAATGTGTGGCCCAACTACCCATCGTCAATGCTTGGGGCTGCAGTTCCACTGAATTTGAACTGTTCACTTGGGTTCTAAGTGGACCAACTTATGGTCTGGTTTTATCCTGGTTGTACCCCTTTTGGAACATTGAATACGTGTGGAGTCAACCAATACTTGTAGCAATATGTAGAAATGACCTCCTGAGTTATTGTTTTAGGGAGCCATAAACCCATGTAAACCCAAGCTATGCATCACTTCTCGCGCTTTTTCCCGTAAAACATCAAGCAACATGTCGTTCCACCAGGTGTTGCTGGTCATCAACGGAGCCTATGGTCACCGACAAACGGCCTCTTGTTGGCGATATGTAACGTGCACGTCGTCATTTTGGATCGTGGACATGTTAAATCAGAACTATTCGTAGGTTGCAAATATCTATGAATAAAAAAATGGTGTCCAATCTGACAGGATTTTATGAAAAATCTCATATTTGTAACCTGAAATCATTCAAGACGACCCATACGTAATCCTTAAATCTCCAGCTCTTCTCTAGTTTCAACGTTTGTTCACAGGCTGAAACTAGCCCATTGCATCCCATGCTACTTCGATTCTGCAGATTCCAGGTCTTCGGGTGAAATCCTTGGGGGTTTTCCAGGTGTCAAAATCCGGCTTAAAAACGCCACTGATCGATGGGCCATGGATGGAGTTAGTACAGTTAACTAGTTAGTAAATGGATTATTTCATTGGGATATATTGGGATATAGGGGGTAACAAATCCACAGTTACTAACCATGAATCGCTAATCCCATGGCCCATCTAAGCAGCGTTGCGACCGGTGTTACATGGCCCAAGTCCGCAAGTCACGACGGTCCCTTAAGGCGATTTGCAGCTACGCGGGGATCAACTATGAAAGCCTGGTCTTCGAGGACATTACGTTGGAGAGCGCAGGGATGGTTAACCATAAGACATACCTTGGCCCTCAAGTTGGGCATCCCAGTTGGTAAACGTTTTATAGTCGAGCTATATTTTGTTCATGTTTGTTCATAAATGTCCATATACAGTAACTGGTGATATTTAGCTGGCATATATCATCATATATCCCACGGATTGTAAGTGGGATGCATATCCAAGAAAAAAACCCAGGGCCAAGCATTTACGAATGAACACATAGATTTACACAATGAATCATAAGGATTTACATGGATTTACCGTAAATTTGCAGGAAGGTGCGTGTACGTTATTTTTACTAAGCTTGTATAACCAACATAGCAATAGGATGCCGATGGAAATGGATGGAAGGAACTGGATGGAGAGGGATCGATGCCCAGTTCCCAACTGGCTTGCCGCAGTTCAGAATCGAATTTCAGAGAGAACTGGGTTTTGACCAAGAAGGGCATGATGCCGTTCCACAGGTAACAGTTTCGATGTTCGAGAAGTAGAGTGGGGACCAGCGCTAAAAAAAAATCCCCGCTGAGAGACTCTACGAATTTCCCGGCTGTGCTTTGGTGAATGTTTGGGGCTGACCATACAGAGTAAGTGGACCCACCGACTGATGAAAGGGTGAGGTTTCCAGGGGCACAGAGGCTTAGGCTTTGCCATTTTGATGGAAATATTATACAAGGTTCATGAACGTGGTAAACCCATAAACCGTCCCCACATTCACCAGAAATGGATGGTATTCCTCCAAAACTGCGGGTTTATTGTTGGGTTTACCACATTACAGGGTAGATTATAAGTTTAAAGACATGTCGAGGCAACGAAGTTGGCTATGTGACCCTTGAAAATTGTATAACTGTTGAATTAGAGCCAGGGCTAGAAACACACAATATCAATGATACGGGGTGATTTCCCTTTTTTCTTCGTAAGTGTCCAGTTGCCTACCATACCTACCCCGATTCGAACAATTCAGACCCAAGAGGGAAGTCCACGCCTGGAAGGCCATATTATGACTGTCACCCCTGTGAACCTTGGTTAAGCATGCTGCAGCATGCTAGTTTGTTTATTGACCAAAGATAGGAAGATATATTGTCGTAATTTATGATTCCCAATGTATACAATTAATTATCGTGCTCTTCAGCTGAAATATGCGTTAAACTCGCAGAGCATCTATGATGAGCCCTGTTGATGCTCTTTCACTTTTGGAAGGCTGCTTCACCCTTGAACATCTTCCGACCGTAGGATTCAGAGCCTATCAATGTGGAGAAGGCGCCGGGGATGCCACAACACAATGGTTTCTGTGGGGGATTCCCTAAGTCACCATGGGCTTCAATACCACGTCATGGTCAGTCATCACTTGGATGGGTGGTTACCCTCATGACTAGGAAACCTCCAAATCTCTCAGACTCGTTCCTGCTGCACTGGGGAAATCGGGCTGGGCCATAGAGCCATCCCCATGTGTTAACTTTTGATGCCTGGATCTGAGGTTAAACTGAGCCGCGACAAAATCCCAAAATTCATCGCTAGCAGCTAGCATTTGGGGATGCTTGAAATCCCATCAAAATGGTGACTTGGGGATGGTGAGTGACGGTTAACCACATGAAAAGTTTCCCTTCAGTGGAGTATAGCTTCACCAAACCCATCATTCCATGAATTCTTCGCCGCAGGTGCTAAGCTCCTTACGACAAAGCAGCGCAACGCATTTGTCACTGGTGCACCATGAAACCACCGCAGGTGTTACCTGGCTGCATGGTGATGTCGTGGTAACCGTGCCCAAGGCTTAGTTAACACCCCTAGGTGGAAGTTGATAAACCAATCTCACAGCAGATTTATCCATCATAAGTCCCAGTGGTAAGAACTGTAAACCAACTTATATACCCATCTTGGGGGCTGACCTTGTACCCATGGCATTTGTTTATCAAGGGCCAAATCCAAATTGTGGCTGCAAATCGTCTACACACAGCAGACTAGTGTGTGGCTTGCCAGTCACAACCCAATGAGCAAGGACTTTTCAATACCCAAGGAGCAGGAATTGTTCTCCAATTTCTATCGGACGACCATCCCTCCGAACAGAATACTTCAAAATGGTTTGATCAGCACGGAAGTTGGTGCACAATTAAATATTGACGGCATCATCCAAGATTCTTTGCTGTGAGGATATGAATCCCTGCTGGCCAGCAATTATACAATTAAGATTCAGTAAACCTTTCATCCATTCCTTCGACACTGTCGAGCATTCACCCTCCAATGTTCAAGCTTTCTCCTATGTTTTAACATTTTTTTGACGATGAACTGAGAATAGCATCTCATGCTTGGATGATTTCATATGACTACAATGTGGTGCCCCATAGTTAGCTAAGTTGGTTATAACTTCAATAACTATGGTTTATGGTAGATATTTAGATACATCTATAGTTAATGGGGTTTATAAACCAACTAACATCACTGGGGGGGCCCACATTGTATGATTGGCTAATGGCCATCCGACCCAGGGCCCGGGCGCCTTTGAACCGCGCTGCTCAGGTGATCAACCCCCTGGAAGACCTGGTGCGGCAGGCGAAGGCCGAGTTTCCTCAGATCCAAGGCAGGAATTCGCCCTGGAAACGTTGGAAAAGCTGAGGCCCGAGGCCCCAAAGAAATCGATCAGTTGCTGTATCTAGCGATGAAAATGTGATGTGAATGTTGGTTTATAAACCATAGTAAGTATGGATATATCACCTATAAACCATAGTCTGGTTGGTGATTTGGAACATTTTGTTTATTTTTCCATATATTGGGAATAATCATCCCAACTGACTATATAATATGTTTCAGAGGGGTTGAAACCACCAACCAGTGATATAGGAATATGACCGATAAAACATCATAAAACATGGTGTACCTGGTAAGTTGTCTTATAACTGGGCAAACTGGAATATATCTACAGTTTTGATGGGACCGTAATTTGAAATTGGAGGGTCCCTTTTTGCAGGTGGCCACTGGACCATGATTTCAAGCTTCCGTCCTCATCTGTTCAGGAAAGATGACTGGCTCAAAAAAAGGGGATCGATTTGGTGCGGTAAGGGGAGCGGATCGAAGCTATGGGTATACATATACTCTATTTTGTTTGCATGATCAGTTCAGCCGCTTCCAAGAGTTGCCTGATAACTGTGATAACTGTGATTGAGGTTGGTGCCCAAACTTTCTGAAGATGTGGTCCGTTGTTTGGTGCAAGGTCGTGATAAAGAACGTGTCACAAGCATTTTCTGTTGCCAAAACTGTCCAAACCAACAAAGGTTACTGATTTGATATGATGCATATAAAGCCATCTGTAATTCCGCGTGCCATACGTGTTGGTTGAATCACCCAATATTTGTTGATGTCAGTTGATGTTATTGCTGTTGTTGTTGCTGCTGTTGTTGCCGTTGTTGTTCTCAGCCTTTGATTCACCGCCCACATGTTGCCAGTTTTGGTGGACTCGATGAGTGGTTTCGGGGCTTACGACTTGGAGATGACCCTGGGCAGATGTTGTGAGTGGAATACCTCGACATAAATCCAACCAATATGCTGAAAAAAATGCCCCATGCCTTAAAAAAATATTCCAGGGTATCAACTAGGTTATGGAATAATTTTGTTTGGAATATTTTTCAGGGAATATTTTTTTTTCAAGGGGTAGGTATACGATTCTGCATGTCGGAACTTGAAAATCATGATCCCCCCCCGTCAAGATACCCCGGAATAATAAAGTTTTGGAATAATTTTCTGTAACTTAAAACATCTTAAAACATCTTGAAGCAGCCTATACGTCCTACATTTGGCCTGGCCTTTCCAAAAGCCATTCCTAGCTTGGCGGTGTTTGCCTGAAAACTTTTTGCTGGAAATGCCAATTGCAGTTATTTAAGGCATCATGCAGTTTGGGCAATTGCTGCCAACTTTTTTTGCAGCGTACTTGCACGCACAACTAGTGTCCAACGGACCACCTTTCTCTCACGGTACTTTCTCTCGAGAGTTCTTTGGGTGGCAATGAATAGGGAATGTTAGGAAAATACCTAGGAAAAGGCCAGGTTGAGTGCCATTGTGTGGGCTTTCCCCAGGGGGGAAATTATTCTAGGGGTATTGGAGATGCCTGGTACCCTCAAAAACGAAAGTGGACAGCTAATCACCAAATCAGCCCAGAAACTGGCAAGAATTGTCAAAAAACAAATGAAACCCACACATGTCCCACCCATTCCCACTATGGCCAACGGGCGTTTTTTGGAAGGAAATGAAGGGAATATGGAAGAAATAGGAGGGCGGACGCAAAGTTGGGGGGGCTTGTAGGAGAGAGCCAGGTTGAGTGCCATTTTGCGGGCTTTCCCCAAGGCAGAAATTATTCTATAGGGGTATTGGAGATGCCTGGTACCCCTCAAAAACGAAAGTGGACAGCTAATCAGCAAAGTAGCCCAGAAACTGGCAAGAATTGTCAAAAAACAAATGAAACCCACACATTTCCCACCCATTCAAACTATGGCCAACGGGGGTTTTTTGGAAGGAAATGAAGGGAATATGGAAGAAATAGGGGGGCGGATGCAAAGTTGGGAAAACTTGTAGGAGAGAGCCAGGTTGGGTGTCATTTTGCGGGCTTTCCCCAGGGGAGAAATTATTCTGGAGGTATTGGAGATGCCTGGGCAATCAATATTTTCCTTTTCCCACTCATTCCCACTAAGGCCAGAACCACCAAACTAGCCCAGAAACTGGAAAAACATCCAAAACCAATTAAAACCATGTTCAACCAGTGGGTTGCTGAGAGGACATTTGTTTAAAGATACTATTCTGACTCTTCTTGATACTATCTGATTATGTTGAAAATTGTTTAAATTTGCGCCCCAGCTCTGCAAGAAGGGAAACCGTTTTCGGCCGTTTGCGCGCAGCTGCAAGAAATAGACATAGACTATACCGGTATCATTTTGATGGAAATTATTCCAAATTTCCATATATCTCAGTGAGTTCTTGGAATAATTATTTGTTTTGAACTCAAGATATGCCGGAATAATACTTTATTATTCTGAGGTATGTTGACGGAGGTATACCCCTAAGGCATCCCTCATGAAAAACAATCCGACAGTATCAAGCTGATGAGCTTTGTGATGGGCCTGTGCAGCCCAGCCTCCCTGGCATATCTGTTTTTGCCGTGGGCCAGGCAGCCTACTGCAGGAGTCACAGTAGCAGATGAGCTTGGAGGACCAGGAGGGGAAGCCACAGAACTGGGAGTTCGACATCTTTGGTTCAGGTGTCCAGAAACCATCAATCTTGGTGGAAAACTCTCTGAAAGATTGAGCGGAGAGAAAATGTTCGTCGCTGGTTGTGCAGACCTGAGGTGGATCGCAGAGGGATGCCGCATTTTGGTGCAGAACGGGCTGGAACCTTTGTCTCTGTCTCCGGGCACTGTGGATTTGGTGAACACTATGATCGAAAGATACAGAAACATCGGATTGATTTGCCACACCGGCAGCACCAGGCTTTGGTACAACAAGCAGTACACGTTCAACTTGGACAAGCTGACTTATGTGCTGAGTCTGCTTCGAACACTACTCACACAGCATCCTGACCTTTATCCTGGAGCCACAAGATCAGCAGCCCTCGTGGTCAGGTTTGACCCTTTTGGATAAAACACTTGTGTTTTATTGTGTGGTGTTATGACATCAACATTCGATGTTTCTTAAGTCGGTTTCAGGTAGCGGTTGCCTAGGACCCTGGTCCATTTTGGGCTCCTGGCACAGCCTCACAGGTGTCAAAAACGTTCCATGCAAGGTGATGGCCCTTATACTTAGCTTAGTTGACCGAAGGAAGTTTAGAAGTCAAACTTCCGACAATATGGACAGATGAAAAGCAGAGTAGGGGAGAGGCAGAGAGAAGAGGAAGATTAGAAGAGAGAAGATGAGAAGAGAAAGAGTCAGAAGAAAGAAGATACAGATGCGCGAAAAGGTAGGAAAGTCGCGAAACACTGTGTTTTTCCAATGATTTTTGGCTCCGGAGGGTCGAAAAGTAGGCTCGCTAAAGCGGCGGGTGCGGAGCCAGCTGGCCAGAGGAGAGATGAAAAATTGCACGCCGTTGTGGCGCGAAGCACTAAGCACATTTCCAAGTGAAAATGTACAAAACACACCATTCTCGGACCACTTTTGGAAGTTGCGATGTCGAAAAAGTGCACGCCGTTGTGGCGCGAAGCACATTTCCAAGTCAAAATGTACAAAACACACCAGGTTCGGACACTTTTGGAAGTTGAGATGTCGAAAAAGTGCACGCCGTTGTGGCGCGAAGCACATTTCCAAGTCAAAATGTACAAAACACACCAGGTTCGGACCACTTTTGGAAGTTGAGATGTCGAAAAAGTGCACGCCACTGTGGCGCGAAGCAGATTTCCAAGTCAAAAGTGTTAAAAACTGACGGTCTCGGACCACTTTTGGAGGTTCAGATGTCGAAAAAGTGTCAAAAAAGTGCACGCCGTTGTGGCACGAAGCACATTTCGAAGTCAAAAGTGTAAAAAAAATGAGGGTTTTGAGCCTTTTTTGACGTGAAGATGTCGAAAAAGTAGACACTGATTAACTTAACTAACTTGACTAACTTAACTAACTTCACTAACTTAACTACCCTAACCTCGACGACAACAGCAACAACAACAACAACAACCACAACAACCACAACAACTACAACTACAACTACAACAACAATAGATCGATAGATGGAGAGATAGATAGATAGATAGATAGATAGATAGATAGATAGATAGATAGATAGATAGATAGATAGATAGATAGATAGATAGATAGATAGATAGATACATAGAAAATAGATGGGTAGGTAGGTAGATAGCCAGAGAAAGAGAGAGAAAGAGTGAGAGAGATCAAGCGCCTTTCAGTCCATCAGTGGCTTCGCTCTGCCATCCCTGATTCACAACAACCAATTTCTCCTATAGGTTTCCTATTTTTGAAACTTCCGCCACCGCCTTGTGCGGTACTACTGGTAAGCATACATATATTGTATATAATTGTATGTATACATCTATGTTGCGAGTAATTCGCATTTTTTTAAAGGAATATAATATATATAAATAAATATATATATATATACACGTATATATTGAACATGGGTTGTACACCGACTTTCATAGCAGCCGCGCAGCGGCCTCACCTTCAACTAGGAGCCCCCAAATGCAGCAGTGGCTGAGAAATTCCGGGATTTGAAGGAAACAAAATGTGATCGCCCAGGTTTGTATCACCCATTTTGATGATTGGGTATTCCAAGAGTGGGGATTGGTTGGTTCTTGATCAAACAAATCCAAATGTTTTTTTCTTGGAGCATCCAAGTATAACAACTACATCAGAAACGGACCCAAACAAAACAAAAAACAAGGCAGTTACAAACCAGGGGTTGATATGGATCAATCACTTGTTGCAAGTGCATTTTACTTACTTATTATTATAGTATCTTCTAGGTGTGTATCCTTCACGGTTATGTGTTTATACATGATACACATTATATAATTTTCCTCTCTCCCTAATACTAAACCCCCCAAATAATAACAATTTCAGGTAGTTTTTATTATTAGTGGGGTATTTATTCTTAGGGAACCAAAGCGGACCCTAATAGTAAATTTAAACCCTTAATTACACAAAAAAAAATATTTTTTCGATTTCAAAATCAGATACTGTAAGTGTCCTTTAATAACGCAGATAAACAAATGCCAAAAATTGGATTTCGAAGCTTCCCCCTAATATTAAATTAAAAACCCTAATACGAAAAACTAAAATTTTCGGACGGACCCTCATAAAAAACACCCCGGGGTTGACTATAGTTTACTAGGGGGTGAAACCCACAAATAGTAGCTTTACTTTTAATTGGTTTCCAAAGGGGATCAATTAAAAGTCAAATTGGCCAACCTGATTTTTTCCAAACTTGGAGATGGACCCTAGTTTGTATTGTTCGGGGGGTGTTTAGTAATAGGGGGAAGGGATTATATATAAGTATGTGCACTATATGCGACATGTCCAGTCATATGCCGGATATTATCCCAATGCGGATGCGTTATTCCTCAGAAGTGGGTTGCCAGCCAGGTAGTAGCCATGAAACACCTAACTGACTATTCTTGATAGTTGTACGCCCAGAATCTTGATTTATCCCTCCAGATTTGTCAGCGCGAGCATCCACAGTGATCCTCACCACCCTTTGGGTCATCCCCACGTCCCCCTTAAAATGTGTATATGAAAGAGAAGGGTTGTGAGTGTAGTTGTGAGCCAGTGGATGATCATGTTCTTCCAGCATCATCCAATAGATTATCTTGGTACTTCATCAACGGTTTGGATGTCGCCAGTTACATATGGTGTGTCGATACGGTGTGAATATGGGACCTCCAAAATATGTAACTTGGTGAACAGAACAGAAGAAAAGTCGTCAAGTATCTCCAGGATGCTCGCCAATTTATTGTTTCCCCATAACGGTCATAAGTTTCCAATATTTCTACACGGTGCAAGCACTCCAATTTTTCAATTTGTTCATAAACCCCATTGAATATAGATAGATAGGCAGATAGATAGATAGATGGATAGATAGATAGACAGACGGACAGATAGATAGATAGACAGACAGATAGATTAATAGATTGACAGACAGACAGACAGACAGACAGACAGATAGATAGATAGATAGATAGACAGATAAGATAGACAGACAGACAAACAGACAGACAGACAGACAGATAAACATATATATTACACATATCTATATATATATATTCCCAAAATCACAGCTAGCCAAGTTCACTAAGTCAACTTAGCTATCCTTCGGGAACTTCACCAATTTTCCGAGGACTTGGGGCATTGACTTTGCCGTGTCTTCCGCGAACAAATGTATCGAGGTGTGGGCAGCAAGCGCCGGCAGCCGTGGATCTTGGAGATACTGCACGAAACACGGTGTTTTTGACGTACTTTACAAGGAAAAACATGGAAAACCATTGAATATACAGAAAAACATAACATATATGATAAATCATGAATTTTGGGGGTAGTAGTTATTCCATGATTTTGGGACAGACCCATTTGAAATTTGGAGGGCACATCGATTGTTGAAACCATGTTTTTTCCCCCATTAAGTATGAAGGAAGGTCAAAATTGTCCTTAACCCATCCGTTGAGAAGCAGGATGATTCCTATTTCTGGTGGAAGACTTGTTTAGCTGCTTAAATGGAGGGATGCAAACACTCGCGAAGCACATGTGCAAAGTATCTCAGGCCATCTTGGAAATTCGAGCTGATACAACCCACCAATCTTATATAAGCAAAACGGCAGCGACACACACACACACACACCAACATTTACCAACAGTTACTCCAACATACATACACTATGTTTTCTGCTAATCACGTCAATGTCAACATGCAAAATATGTTGAATTCAAGAGCGATTCTGTGATTCATCAATTTGCAGATCACTCTGCGGTGGTTTGGACAAATTATTGGTCATGTTCCATGGTGTGGAGCTGTGCAAGGAATTTCCTAAGGATTTTGTTGCTGATCATTTGACAGTATACAAAATAGGTGTTCAACAAAGAAATGACGTGTTCCATTGCTGTAGGTAAGTAGAATCATGTAGTTCCGTCTTAAATTGGGTGAGGTTTTCATTGCTAGCATAGTTGTTAGTTTTCATCGATATGATATGCCATAAAAGTCCATGGTCATCCCCACAGGAAAATTTGTGGCAAGCCATGATCTGTGAATTTCAATTTTATTGGATGATACTAGCCGATGAAACATCTATATTCACCATGTTTTCTTTGAAGATGGCTTGCAACCCCCATGAAGCGTAGTTCAATATTATTATTGTTATTATTGTTCTTATTATTATTAAATTATTATAGCATAAACCGAAGTTGACCTGCTTGCAATGCAACTTAGCGAGTCTGGAGGCTATGGCCATACCAAGCAGGACCTCCTGCTTTGTCTAATGTTTAATATCAAGGTCGTGCCAACTGTGGTTATTTATGTGTGCCACGTCAACCAGTTTTGCCTGGCATTTTGCCTCATCATATCATAGGCCACCTTCGCCATCATAAATTATCTATCTAAATCCCCATGTGTTGGTTATACCTCCATTTTTAAACGTGGTTTCCTAAGTCACGGGCGAAACCCCCTAAGTCAAAGCCGTGAAGCCTCGGCAGGGAGTTCCCGGCTTCGCATATGTCCTATGCCAAGTGGATGCCTTGAAGCGGAGCAAAGGGACCTCACGGAGCCTGACCATGGACTCCCGGTCTAAATGGCTGATATGGCTGGGGGCCTGATTCTGGTTATTTCCATTGCGATTTTGACCCTGTTTTCATAAACAGGTGTACTTTAATGGGGTCTTTACTATGAACAATTAATTGGATATATCAATGATCAGTGATAGCTGGTTGATGATTAGATTGGGAGTTCAATTACCCAATTGGGGACTAGCAAAATCCATGTAGTAGGAATCCTGTGCTCGACGAACCAAGGGTTATATAGATGGAATGACTAAGGGTTTTGAATAATGCTCAGGTGGGTACGCGAGAGCTCATCGAGGTTTCCTTGTAAGTGACATTTTTTTTCCAGGATGCTGTGGATGATGTAGAAGCATAAGAATTTCCCAGCTGTCCGACTTGTCAATTTTTTTCAAGATTGCTATAGGAAACTGCCCCAAATTGGGACATTTGCAGCCAGCAAATTGTACGCAAGTGTGTCGATAGTTCTACATGTTATACAAGATGGTGCCCCCCAGTGTTGTTTGTTGGTTTATGTTCACCAGTTCGATTGATATCTATCTACCATAAATCCAACACATCAGCCTAGTGAAATCAACCAGGTGAGTTAACCTGGGGCAGCACTGTTTGGCCATCGACCTCCACAAGTCGGGTGATATCGTGGTTCGCCAAAGTGCTTCCGTCGAATCACCATTTGTGTTGCCTAATTTTTGACTAAACAGACTATAAAGATATTCTTTGTTGGAAACTTTCAAATAGGTGAACTTCAGATGCCAGTCTGTTTGCCACACCAACTTGCCTGCCGCCAAGTGGCGCGAGCTGGCCTTAGGACATCTATGACCAGTGGGCCAACATGGAAGCCACTGGGTGGGTGGCCCCGATGGGCCCGGTGAATTAGGTTAAGAATGGCTCTTCAGCACACCCTGGACCCTACAATGGTTGGTCGCATGTTGTAACTATACCTAAATTTGCTGAAGATGTTTTTATATGTTCCCAATAGGAAACCCACTACTTGGGGAATCTACAGGGACTATGTTTGATTTTGTTGGGGGTTCCTCAAGCAAATCCAAGTATAGCACAATAGTCGAAGGAAGTTTAGAAGTCAAACTTCCGACAATATGGACAGATGAAAAGCAGAGTAGGGGAGAGGCAGAGAGAAGAGGAAGATTAGAAGAGAGAAGATGAGAAGAGAAAGAGTCAGAAGAAAGAAGATACAGATGCGCGAAAAGGTAGGAAAGTCGCGAAACACTGTGTTTTTCCAATGATTTGTGGCTCAGGAGGGTCGAAAAGTAGGCTCGCTAAAGCGGCGGGTGCGGAGCCAGCTGGTCACAGGAGCGATGAAAAATTGCACGCCGTTGTGGCGCGAAGCACATTTCCAAGTCAAAAGGTACAAAACACCTCAGCGTCGGACGACTTTTGGAAGTTGCGATGTCGAAAAAGTGCACGCCGTTGTGGCGCGAAGCACATTTCCAAGTCAAAATGTACAAAACACCTCAGCTTCGGACGACTTTTGGAAGTTGCGATGTCGAAAAAGTGCACGCCGTTGTGGCGCGAAGCACATTTCCAAGTCAAAATGGACAAAACACTAGAGGAGCGGTCCACTTTTGGAAGTTGCGATGTCGAAAAAGTGCACGCCGTTGTGGCGGCGAAGCACATTTTGAAGTCAAAATGTACAAAACACCTCAGTGTCGGACGACTTTTGGAAGTTGCGATGTCGAAAAAGTGCACGCCGTTGTGGCGCGAAGCACATTTCCAAGTCAAAAGTGTTAAAAACTGGCGGTCTCGGACCACTTTTGGAAGTTGCGATGTCGAAAAAGTGCACGCCGTTGTGGCGCGAAGCACATTTCCAAGTCAAAAGTGTTAAAAACTGGCGGTCTCGGACCACTTTTGGAGGTTCAGATGTCGAAAAAGTGTCGAAAAAGTGCACGCCGTTGTGGCGCGAAGCACATTTCCAAGTCAAAATGTACAAAACACATCAGCTTCGGACCACTTTTGGAAGTTGAGATGTCGAAAAAGTGCACGCCATTGTGGCGCGAAGAACATTTCCAAGTCAAAAGTGTTAAAGACTGGCGGTCTCGGACCACTTTTGGAAATTGAGATGTCGAAAAAGTGTCGAAAAAGTGCACGCTGTTGTGGCGCGAAGCACATTTCGAAGTCAAAAGTGTAAAAAACTGAGGGTTTTGAGCCTTTTTGACGTGAAGATGTCGAAAAAGTAGACATTGATTAACTTAACTAACTTGACTAACTTAACTAACTTCACTAACTTAACTACCCTAACTTCGACGACAACAGCAACAGCAACAGCAACAGCAACAGCAACAACAATAACAACAACAACAACAACAACAACAACAACAACAACCACAACCACAACAACAACAACAACAACAACACCAACCACAACAACTACAACAACTACAACTACAACAACTACACGACAACTACAACTAGAACTGCAACTACAACAACTACTACAACAACAACAGCAACAACAACAACAACAGCAACAACAGCAACTACAACTACAACTACAACTACACAACAACTACAACTACAACTAGAACTACAACTACAACTACAACAACTACAGCTACAACAACAACAACAACAGCAACAACAACAACTACTACTACTACTACTAGTACTACTACTACTACTACTACTACTACTACTACTACTACTACTACTACTACTACTACTACTACTACTACTACTACAGCAACAACAACTACAACTACAACAACTACAACAACTACAACTACTACTACAACAACAACTACTACTACTACTACTACTACAGCAACAACAACTACAACTACAACAACTACAACAACTACAACAACTACAACAACAACTACTACTACTACTACTACTAGTACTACTAGTACTACTACTACTACTACAACACGACACAACAACTACAACCACACAACAACTACAGCTACAACAACTACAACTACAACTACAAAACAACTACATCTACAACTATATGACTGCAACTACACTACACTAATTACATTACACCACAACTACAACTCCACTACGCTACAACTACAACTACAGTTGCAGTACATCATACTACATCCAGCAGTTGTGGGTGAGGTGACCACTGCAACCATTGCAACCACTCCAGCAAACACAACTCCAACCACCTTTCGGTCAATCAGTGGATTCACTCTGCCATCCGTGATTCACAACAACCAACGTCTCCTATAGGTTTCCTATTCTGAAACTTCCGCCACCGCCTTGTGTGGTACTACTGGTATACAATAGTAAAGATAAGTAGGTTAACAACCATTATGGTTAACTAAGTTGGGGTATTTCACTAGGTTTAACATGGTTTAATCAAGTTGGTTTATTTCACCAAGTAGTTTTTTCCCTCTAGGTTTATAAACCCTACAGTTGTACCTGGCTATTAGGCCTGAGCTTATAACTCGGTGGCACCACCTTCCGCTAATTAAAGATGGCAATTGGAACACCGAACGCAACTATTTGTTTTTTTACCATGAAAAGAGATATATACTGGTATGATTGCAAAGTGTGTTCTATTGAAGGATGTTAATCTGTCTCTACAAACTACAAACTGGGGCTCCCTCGTTATACGTTGGTGATAAATTGAGTATAGTCTAATGATGTCTAATGTCTCGTTGTATCATATTCCCATAAACCATAGAAATTTGTTCTAAGGCAACTTAGCTATCTCAGTCCTTGTGACATCATTCGTCGTAACGTGGGGATGTTCCAGCCTGGTGTCAGCCGGTTGAATCAATGGGATCCACAAAAAGTATCAAACAGTGGCGATTTGCTAAGAAAGATATATGGGAAACCCATGGGAAACCCATGGGAAACCCATGGGAAACCCCTCAATCAACAGCCAGGGGGTAAAGGTCTCTCCGGGATAAACATCGACCTACACCCTTTAAGAATCGCTTGTAAGACGAGGCGCAATGAGGTGATCCGCAGATAGTTCATATCTCGGCTGGCAGATTTGTATTTACAGTATAATAATAATATATATAGTACGCATTAGTATACTATGTTGTTCAAGTGTTGTTTTCTTTCAAGAGCAACACATCTCAATGTCGCAAATGTACATACATACATACATATATATACAATTATATATATTTATATATAGTAATTATAGTATATAATATAGTAACTATATATATATGATATATATGTTTATGCTGTTCCCAGGTGTAAAACCACTTGAAATCCTGTTTCTGTTTTTCTCGCTGCAACTCTGAGGCAGTTCAGGTATACACCTCCAACACATGCCATCTTAGCCTTTCAGCAGGCGCGTGATGGAGCGGAGCGGAGCCATGACTGGGTGAAGCCAATCACTGCTGGGTCATTTTGGTCATTTGCCATGAGGTTTGCCATGACCCATAGGACCATAGGATCCATGTATGGTATATATATATATGCTAACATTTGGGGTATATTGATGGTATATGTTACCATATATAGCATACATGGATCCTATGGGTGATGGTTTGACAGTTTGACCATGCAAAAATGGGTTTGAACCACTTGAACAAAGTTGAAAAGTGATGGTAACAGATAACCAGGGGTGATGATTTGGGCGACTCTGACCATGCGGTAAGACCCTGGAAAATGAAACATGTATAGACGGTCTACCTATGAAACATGGTGTTGTTTTGCATGGCTGTGTTGAATTACCAGAGGTGGAACACATCAAACCTTTGTCAATGACATCCCCTCCAAGTCTAGCAAAAGTTGCTTGATATGGCACAACTTGTAGTTTGTGAGTATGTGGACCACTAGACGGCAGTGGTGGCATTTTGGAATTCACCCTAGATTGACACTTAGTCAAGTAACTGCACTGTCGGGGTAGTAATGATGTCCTACCATCCAAGCATCTGGCATTTCGAGCTACATCAAACCGCTGCCCCAACTATTGATGTACTGGTCGTTGGCCCGGATCTCTCTCAACATCAAACACTGGGCCAGACTGAAATATTCCGTTGTCCTGGCAATAATCAAATATCTTCAAAACCATGAACCGTGTTTTGTGCAGTTATGGTCCTTTATCA